CCCAGAGGCTGGATGGGGCATTTAATTCTAGTCCTATATCCTTCCTTGTATTGGCTGGGATGGAGTTCATTTTCTTCCTAGTAGCTGCTACAGTGCTGTTTTGGATTTAGGATGGCAAATATGCTAGTATCACACATATTTTTTACTTTTTGCTGAGCGGAGCTTACACTCAGTCAAGGACTTGTCAGCTTCTCATGCTCCCCTGCCAGGGAGTGGGCTGGGGTGCCCATGACAGAACCAGGACAGCTGAGCCAACTGACCAAAGGGATATTCTTTTATCATTTCATAAGGTCTCCAAGTTTATCTTTTTCTCCAAGCCTCACCCTTTGAGACAGACAGTAGCCCTTGATTAGCCAGGAGGGCTGCTGTCTGTCTCAAATCAGAAGCAGTTCTTCACAGTAAATCATTGTGGGGATCTCTCATCCTCCACTGAGGCTACAAACACAGGCAAAACACCAAGACTAAAGGATATTAAAATCTGACAATTCTTTTGAACAGCATCCAACAGACAGGACTCAAATCTCCTGTACACAAGCCAAGCCAAGGGGATGTTATCAGCAATTATCTCTCATTTGGGAAGAAATAAACAGATTTATCATATTACTTAGTATTTGTTGCTTTACTACCGAGGAGGATTTACAGAAGTTCAAAGGGCCAGTTTTAGAATTAGGAAAAACAAATAATGTAGCATCAACCACGGCACATTAATCACCACAAACAACTGCAGGACTTGAATTCATCCACAACTGGCTGACAAGCAACAGCCCACTTTTTGAATGCAATCAACACAATTTTATTGTCTTTACTCTTAAAACTACATTTCCTTAGTCCACTCTAAGTTACATTACGACAGACACATCCTGATTTTAACTCTTCTCTAGTAAGAGTTAGAGGTAAGTGCATGGATGAATGTGGGAGAGAAGGGGAAGTGAGCCTTAAATGTCTAGAACACAGTTCCTTCCAGTCTAGAGCTGAGCACAGTATAATGAATTCTCAACCTTCCAACAGCCACCAAACTCACAAGCAGCATTTCCTTCTTTATCCAAGTCTGCACCCATGGTAACACTGACTCCTGGGCTGGGGCACTCCATGAGGACAGCTCAGCACCAGGAGCCCTGTGAGTAACAACAGGTAACACCCAGTCCTGCCACCACCCCTGAAAGGACAGCAAGCATATGTCAGAACCGGTACCTATTTTAAATTTCAGAAATTACAAATTAAACAACTTTAACATTTTCTGTTGCAAACAGCAGTAGTGCAGGTGGTGCTTATTTCTCCCTCCCCCAAAACAATACAGAATTTTTAAATAAAAGTTGATTCAACAAAGTTTACCAGAATATTTTTTTGCTTGGAATAAATAAACACCAAATGTCTGAAAGAAGCCATACATTCAGCTGCTTTTTTTTAAATGCCAACTTTGCTGTTACAGGATTTTTTTCTGTTGTACTTGTCATACATTAATATGACAAGAGGAATACTTAGGATAGGTTCACCCACAAATTTAAAATGTCAAGGCAGGAAAGCATTAAGTGAGTGTAACCCATCAGACTGAAGTATTAAACAAGACCAATCTTCTGCACTAATTAATTCATACACAGTACTGAAAAGGTAAAGGGCACAGAAATCAACCACTTGAATTTTGATTATTAAAAACAAGGCATGTTTGAACACAATTCACCCATTTGTTCCAAATGAAGCTAGTCCAGAATCAATGTGCAATGCAATTTAAAATTCCATTTTATATAATTACTTCATGGACTATAAGGAAAAATATAGTGCAACCTATTGCAGCTTTTGGCCAAAACCTGAAAGACCCACAGTAACTTGAGAAAATTATATTCAAAGTAAGTGTAAGAAAAATACTAGTTTGTTTCTCATCTGTCTTGAGTAAACAGATTATTAGGGTGCCTTAGCAAACAGAGTAAGATCTCATATCAATCAATCAGCTGTGGGCTATGCCCAAATGCCAGCAAGTTTTCCCAGACAAGAATTTCCATCCACTTAAGCAACAGGCAGAGCTTGTCTTCAAGCCCATAACACAATCCCTCACTCAAAAATCCTGTTATTCCATTTTAGAAAACTGTACTATTCAAGCCAACACATTCCAAAAGAATGGGAGTTTGGACACAGATATTTGTGTGCACTGCAACTCCTGAAAAGTGTTACTTTCAAGGAGCTGACATTTCTCTACAATGAAAATAAACACTCAAGCTGGGAGGGAATGTAATCTGTAGATGTCTGGAAAACCTAACATTAAAAAAATGTTCTTGAAAAAGACAGGGAGAAACCTTTAAATGTTACATCCCAAACATCCCAAAACAAAGCACATGGAATTACTTATGAGGGGAGAGGCCAATTATTTCAAAAATACTTTTCAAGAGTAAGAATAAGATTATTTTCAGAACAAAAACATGACCAATGGCCCCCAGCACACAGTGGCACTTCCACCTACCTGGTATTCCAACAAAAGTGAAATCTGCCCAGGGGCACACAAAAAACTGCAGCAGCGCTTTAGAGAACAGACCAGAATTTGAAACAAAACACCACCAAGTAACTCAAAAATTTGTAGAATGCAAATAATTTTCAAGCATAAATAGTTTTAGCAATTCACTTCCATTACTACAAAGTAAAACCCAGCCAAATGTTCACTTACCTTCCAGCTATTATAGAAAGTTTAATTAACTCCAGTGTATCCATTTCTTCACAGATGTTTGTTATTTTAACTGATTTTTCCTTCCAAAGCAGAAACTATGCCGTGAGAACACCAGGTAATAGTTATCTCAAACCCAGGAAAAGTCACATTTTACATGAACACCACATTACTTGAATCTATGAATTCCCCCTTCTGTAAAAGGTGTGTGTTGCAACTTTCAGAGGAAACAACATTGTTTTTATATTTGTTTTTGAAAACTCCATTGAAATCTTACAATTTTGAAGCTTATGAGGTTTGTTTGCTTTGTTTTATTAGAAAAAATACTCAGGCAAGGTCTACAATCATCTGTCAATTATAAATGACTTACAAGAAACTCATGAAGCAATAAAATTAAAAAAATACAAATACAAACTATATCTGAAACACTTCTATTTGGCAATTTTATAACAAATTCAAAATAAAAAGAAACAAAGATTACGGATTACTTTATAAGTACAGAAAAAGCAGTAGGTGAAGTGCTCAAGCAAAAAAATAAAAAACCAAAACACTGCATTTCTTCCAAAAATAAAGTCACATCACTACAGATTTTATGAATAATACCCTTATTAAACAACCATTCCAGAACATCTTATATTAGTGGTGCTTTTAATCTGCACTTCATATCATTGATAAGATTTTTTTTTTTTGTGTATGTATATAAGTAACATTTTTAACCCACTGGAGCTAAGCAAGACTCATGTCAGTACCAATGCAGAATGCATTTGTATCACATTAGGATATGCTCACTTCTGCAACCAAAGGGTAACTTTAAGTCTTAATCTATTTAATAAAAATTTAGTGTAAAAACTGCTGGTTATTAGTTTCACTGTAGTAAATTCCTCCCCAATAAGGAGGACTAACTCTGCAGTTTGACTGCATATATCCATACAAATTTTACATATTAGTTCCTTCCGACAGTAAGGAAAAAACTAATTCTGTGTTTACTATTAGAAAGGAGTGCCATGAATTAATTATGAGTACTATTCATCCCTCTAAGATTTCTGGGAAGGATGTTCAATGTATTTTTGTTCTTACAACAGATACTAACAGTAGTATATAGTCCCTTAGGTATTTAAAAGAAAGTTTTTTTTTACTGTTAAGGAAGGTGCTTTTTTAAAACAATTCTTCTGGCAGCACTAGTGAATTACAATATCCTTCAATATTATTTCTACCGTAATATATACATTTTAACTTTCATGCCTCTAGAAAAACATCTACAGTACATTTCATAATATAAAAATATATTACAAATCTGCTGAAATATTTACAAGCAATGTCCTATTATCTATATGCAACATTTTTGTCTCCATACAAAGACTAACAGGTTAGACGCCTCTCTATTTGTCAGTTAAAAAAAATCGATGGCTCCTTGCTTATTAAGCAAGAAAATGATTTACCTTTCCTTTTCAAAGCCAACTTTGGTGCATAAAGGATTGAATTTCTAGATTCATTTTTTTTTTAAAAATACCATTTTCTTTACATCTAGAAAACATTAGGCCAAATAAAGTATACTTTACAAGTGAATGGGGATCCTAGAGGGTCAAAAAAGCAAAATAAATCACCAGTAACACTGACTGCTTACACTGAGGTTTCCCAAACCCGTCCATTGATACGGCTCACACCAAAGCAGATCTGATGAACACACTACACTACTCCTGCAAAGGGGTCAGACAGACTGCAACACTCTGAACATCCTGCCACCACACTATATGTATTCAGAGTTGACTGGAAAAGACAAGCATTCCATCAATATTTGTTTCAACACCATAATCCAACATATTTTAGGGATCTGCAAAAGGACACGAGCTCACAAATGACGAATGATTACTATCCACCATACTCAAAGGGCAACAGGATAATCCCTTGGTAGCTGTTCTATTGTCTGGCATGTATTAGGTTTAGTTAACATTGACAGGAAGCCAAATAGCTTGTTAACAGTTTTCCTGGGAATTGGAAGGAAATGGTGATGGTTACTTTTTCTTTTCATCAAATGTAGACTACTGTATTCACTAAAGAAAAAAGCAGCTTAAAGAAGCAAGCATGCAAAGCCTTTTAGTTGTTCCACTAAGTTGCCAGAAGAGTGTTTGCTCAGTCTCCCACTGTACCATTCCATGAAAATGTGGATATACAGTAATATATTAATATATTCCACAGAAGCATCAACTTCATTCACAGAATGTTTACACTAAGCATAAATATTTCTCTAAAAAAAAAAAAAAAAAAAAAAAAAAAAAAAAAAAAAAAAAAAAAAAAAAAAAAAAAAAAAAAAAAAAAAAAAGAAAAAAGAAAAAAGAAAAAATAAAAAAGATGGGATTTGACTAATGTGCAACTTTATTTCTAAATCCATTGTCAGTGACTAAGATTGCAGGTGTCCCCACTTGCTTGGTTTTTACCTCTTCAACCTCTTCTGGGGCATTGTTCTGTAAAAGAAGATGGTACAGCTTTACATTAAGACCCTGTGATGTATACATTGGTCAGTTGAATGCACTATGAAATCATGACTATACAAAATCTACTTTCATCTGATAAAATCCAAGAGCCATTTCAGATGATCTCACAAAAGTGTACATCTCAGATAATTATTTCCAAGTTTCTATTAAAGCATGACATTTTACGATGACGTTAATAGTTGTCACTAAATTTTTTAACTACTCTTTCCCCTTGAAAAGAGGTTTTGGTTTTTAAAGTTTCATTTTGAAGCTTTGGTTTTTAAATTTCATCATTAAGTTCCCTCAGCTGGTCCCAAAAGTTCATTTCAATCACAGACTGATCCATACTTCTAAAAATAGAGTACAACATTACATGTGGGGACCTTAAATTAGCAAACCTTTCTATCTCTCCCAAATAAAATTTTCTCCAAGGACTTAATTCAGAGATCATTACATTTTTATTTTAAGAGGTTGTTATTTTCTTTTCAAAGTAAACTAATCCATCAAGCTCAGCAAAGGCAATCAATATAAAATTATTAACACCTCAATTAGATTATAAAAGTCACTGTGTTAAGCAATTTTAAAATACACAACCCAATCTCGCACTAACATTTTTATGATTTTATCATTAATAGCAATGATTCATGGACTAAGATAAATACTTATAACACATTTACAAAGATAGCAAATACAGTAGGATTGGTTTTCATATTGTAAAGCAAAATTTCATTAATTTGATTAGTGAAATACACTGCGTATTAAAGGTGAACTGAAAGGCTTATTGCATACAAAGACCTCAGATTAGTGTTTTATTTACTCCTTGGGACTCTTGGTCACTGGATGTTAAGGAAGAAACATCGGAACACTGAACTTCTGTTATGACAAACTTTCTTTCCACAAGCTGTTTTCATAAATTTTTAATATAATCACATATGGATCTATGGATGCTCAAAATTTCAAAATGAGATAAGCATTTCAGATTACCTTTAAAAACTGTATACACAGAACTGTGGGTACTGACAATCATGGGAGAGCAGTAATAATGGGGTGGGGGGAGAATCAGGAAATTATTAGAAACCAGATGGATTAGAAGCCAATCTGAAGGCCTAAAAATAGAAATGTGAAAGTAGCTTAAAGGCAAGTAACACGGATTGTTCCCTTTTGTCCCCCTATAAAGAATCTTGTAATAAAAAATAACAGTACTTGAATACAAGTACAAATTTCAAGGTAATACTGCAGGTATTACAGCTGAATATAATATGGAAAGATAAATTTGGACTTTAAAAAAATTGGTATACAAACCAGTATGTGATCTTAACAGAAGTGATCTTTCAGGATTCCACTGTATGTACCTCCTTTACTAGAATTTCTGTACACCAAGCACAAAAAAGTAAAATACACTTGGTAAATACACACATTCCCCGTTTCTCAGTCACTAGAGTTTAGTTCAAGAAGTAATATTGAAATAACTTAAGACCTCAGAACTTAACTCCTGGACGTTTACAGTACCAAGTCTCCCTGATCTGGTGTATAATACATTAGCAATCCTGATTTTCCAACGTCAAAAAGTTAAGTGAGGCTTAAGATTACATTAAAGTAAAGAAAGTTTTAAAATGAAGATGTTACCTGTAAATGTTTGGGTCCAGAAGCAAGGCAGTATCTTTTGGAAGTTTTGATAAATGAACTACTTTAGTTTTTAACTGATGTCGCTCACTTTCATTTACCCACACATCAGGCAGACTATGAATAAATAAATAAAATAAAAATATTCAAAAAAGATCAACTGTTTTTCTTACCATAACATTATGTGGTAAACTAGTACATATGAAACAAAAAGCATCTTCACCAGAGTGAGGAAAGGCAGCCAAACTTTACACATTATGCTTTGAAGTTTTCAGGTTCACAGTTTGAAAAGACACTGAAGAGAATTTAGAATATTCCAGAAGTACATTCCAAGTGTACAATGACAATGGCACTACATTCCCCACTGTAACAATTTAATGTAAAAATGGGTAACAAAAAAAAACAACCAGACCTCTGAAAATAATTTATTTTACTAGGCAGAAATTCTTTTACTCTGTTCAATTAAAGGACAGGACACACTGCAGGCACTGAGCTTTGACTTACACTAATTTGCTTCCTCCAAGCTCAAACGTTTCAAAGACAAAATGCTCCAACTTTGCTGAAGTTAATTGTTTGATCGTCCTCTTCTTTGGGTTTTTGGTGGGGTTTTAAAAATTTTCTACATGTCCTAGAAGCCAACGATTAACTTCAGGTTGGGGGAGGAGTTTGCAATTAAGGTGTCTAAGTCATTGAAACAGGTTTCAAATTGAGAAGCTCAACACGTAAAACTAAATATAATGGCTCTTTCTCTGCAAAGCAAAAATTCACAGACTTTTGCAAATTATTTCATTGAATCTGTATTTTGCAAAGATTTCCCTTTGCAAGAAAGTTAGCTGCAACTCAAATTCATTTTTTGGGTAAGCTATTCAAAACATGAAATGAAACCAAGAACCTCTAACCCAGCAGGAAAAGGAGTTTCTCCAATTAAATCTTTCAGATAAAGGAGGAAGAAAAAAATTAAAAACAACAGGACATAGGGGGAGGGAGAACAACCCAGCAGGCAATCCATTTATTCACTAAGTCTCATGGATCATGAAAGGTGGAAAAACATCATGGAAGTTTTTAAAGTAAAGCAAAAACTCAGTTTTTGAACAACCGACATTGGGAAGACATTTTCAGTAGCAGCTGTATGCTCAAGATACAAACAGCAAAAAAGAAAACTTTTCACATGCAGACATTTGAAATGTACAGAAAGACAACAAGTCACTAAGCTGATTTACTGGCACCAAAAATAAATTCCTGCTCTTAGCAAAAAAAAACAAGAAAACAACCCTGAAAACAAACCTCCCAACCTGCTAGAAGTTATTTCCCTCTTGTAGAGGAAACAAAGACTTGTATTTACTTTTCCTGACCAAAATCCTAAATACATGGACATCCTGGAGAACTTGAGCAGTTCTCAAGAGGACTCAGTGTAGAAGCTAAAATCACTACTCCCAGCTCCATGGGGAAGGCTGATGAACAGCTCAGGAGAGTGGAAAGAAATCGCCGTGAGTAAATCTCACTTCATGAAGTGTAAGTGCCCTGACAGTGTAAAACAGACTGATGGTGTGTGCCAGGATACCTTGGCATCTCTGCTTACATGGAATAATCAAGATGAACTGAATGCTCAGTAATTCAAAACCACATCACTCAGTGCCTGAAATACACACTCTATCTAACCTATCTAAACCTAACCAAGATGCAACAAACAGCAATCTAAAACATATTTTTCCTCTGACCCAACCAACCAAATCTAAATTCCACGGGGAATGTTCTAACATTACTGAACAACCTGTCTTCTCCAATTCAGAGATTCTAATATTGAATTCATCTGCATGAGCAAAAAACATCATTCAACTCTATATTCATAAAAATATTACTCTTCCATTTATTTCACATATTCCCAGTATTGCATACTTCTTAATGTTTATATTAAAATAAAATTAACTGTCTTTAACTGTAACATGTTAAGAAGAATCATTTCAGAATGCTGTTAGATATATACTACCATCTGTCCTAAAAGAAATCAAAAAACTGCCTATTTTTTAAGAATCTTTTAGCTTTATTCTCTCAAGATGAATTGAAACTTGTGACAAAATGCATTAAAAATATGATGCAAAATTTATGCAAATTGCAAAATTTAACTGAATTGGTATTAGAGCCCAAAGACTTGAAAGGGAAAGTAAAAATCAAAAAACTCAGTGTTTATTAATTTCTAAACTTCTAAATTAGTTTTTGAAAAGCATATTTTAAATATTAACTTTTAACTCAAATTTTGAAAGGCACAAAATGATTTATTAACAGTTCATTTATCCCACTATAAATCCTTCCCCATTTAAAATATATCACTAGCAATATACTCACATGTCCTCTGGTGTCCAATGAAGCAAGAGCTTTATTTTGCCAGAATCTTCTTTTCGTTTAGCTATTACCTATAATAATTACAAAATCATAATTAAAACCAAATTACTGTTTTTTTTACTCAAAAGTTGTTGTTCTTCATGTCCTACTAGACATTCATAGGAGGCAAATTCTTATATACCTTGAAAGTTGTGTGTCTGCAATAAATATGCTCTCAAGACTTAAAATTGTTTTGCAAAGAACTTAAGTCTGTTTAGGTTTTTAAGTGAAAACCACAATTCAGCCCAAAGATGTCCACTTAATACAGCTTTATTGGGAAATATTCTAACTACACTCTCTAGATTTCCTGCACTGTCCCAAAAACAAAATGGAAATTCAAAGCAAATGTGCATCAAAGTGGTCTCAAATCAGACATGGAGTTTTGCTGACCTCTTCTGGAAAAAGAAAACAATTTCACACTGTAAATTGGTAGGCATCTCACTGCATTCATTTATGGTCTTACAAGGTTTCGGTACATTGAACCAATGTAACTAGTTAAAATACATGTGGCCACTGAACTGAAATACCTAAAAAAAACTAAAACCAGGGAACAGTTTAGTGTTCAACTGTTTTAGAGAATTAATTTAAGCCACTTCAAAGTTTGGGGGTGGCATGACATGATAACCTATAAGTTATATTTTTTATTCAGTGTAACACCTGTTCCTTAGTTTAACTAAACATGTTTGCTTTTTTCATCTAACAATTCAGAGAACTAAAATACAAAGAATTTGATTCAATTTTAAAAAAGCAAGCAGAAAGAAACCCCATCATACTCAAGTCAAAGGTGTACTCTGGATGGTAAGCACATTTCTTTAAAAAGGTTTTATTAATTCTAAATCTCGCCATATCTACAAAGAAAAGGTGGTGTTAAAAGAGTATATGTAAATGAAAGTATGTGCCTTTTCAGAGAACATGAAAGGTATCTACAGTGACTGCTTAGAAATGCTTTATATTAGAATATCTGCCCTGAAATATACTGCATTGTGCTGACCTTATTTTTATGCTGAGTAAAACAATAAAGCCACATAATTTATGTTTGTTTTCAGACAGCAGGCAATTTCATCTTCCTATTTTCCACCTTTCCAAATAATGTCTCTGACAATTACACATTTTTTCCTTCATCTGAAGGTGGATATACAAACTTAGGCCATTTAGCCATTCATTATTCAAATCTCATGTCCTAAAGCCTTTAAGTGACGCAAAACAAATAAGTGTTTGTATATGAGGTATTGTTAGCTCAGTGTAACAATCCACAAAACAGCCCCTTGCCTACCTTTTCTTTTTAAAGCTGATTTTTAGGCTGAGTCTCATCAACAAAACTGATGTCCAGCACAAGCCAGTACCCCAAAATACAGCAGCCAGGTGCAGCATGGGGCTGAAATCCTAGAGCACCTCTCCCACTGGTACAACCTCTCCCACAACTGAGGTCTAAGCAATTCCAGATCTAATCAACTCCTACCATCAAAAGTGACACATGCATGGATGAGCTAAAAGGATTTTCACCGATTCCTTCAAGTTAATGTGAAGCAGTTTAAGAGCAGATTCCTCCCTCTAATTCCACCTCCTTATGAATTATTCCAATAGCCAGAGCTGTTCTTCCACAACTGAGCAGACTGCCTGGATAACCTTTCAGATTAAAGCAAGCTGTGAATTGGAAAAGAATCTGCTCTTCTCACAGCCTTGTAAAATCCATGTTGGCCAGGGAAACTAGAATGAGATTTAAATACAGTAACTGCTAAGCCACCTGCAATCTCCACCTCCAGCTCATGCACAATGTACAAAAAGCTCAGCAGAAATAGCTTGGAAAAGATTTCCCATACAGGCAACAGGTATTTATAACAGTCCTCAGTCTTCCAGAACAAGGTGAAATAAGCTTCATGCACACAAAATCATCTTTTATTTATGGAAAGAGACTGATAATTCAAGAGTCTGAATCCCATACTAAGATTAAGCTGTAACTGAAGATGTGTCAGCCAGCACTCCTTGTTTGGACTATTCTACCAATTTAAAACCATCTCTCCCCATTTTGTCCCAACTCTTACTTCTTTTCTTCAGCCAGGTCTCCACCTTTTACATGCCCTCATCACCCAACATGCTTAAGAAAACCTGAGGGTATTCAACTTTTTTAACTTCTGATCCTTCTCCCCCAATTCAGTATTTTATCCCTGCTTTGAACTCTTCTAAATTAATACTGATATCTTTCTATCCAAACACAAGTTCCCCACTTGGTTCTTGCCTCCTTCCAGCAATTCACCAATATTTTGGTAGTAAATTTAGTCAAAGAAAAAACAGAGATGGGAATAAATTTATTCAGGATTATATCTTTTAAACTGCGGAAAAAAAGGGAATAAACACATACTTCAGATCAGCATCTTTACATATTCAATTATATACCAAAAATATTTCTTGTGATAAATGACCACTGTCACTCATGACCACGGAAATGCCATCTGATCTGTGTTCTTATTTAGAAGACAGAACCAATTTTCTTCTGCAACACAAAGTTGCTGTTAGATATTCCCCAACAGGATCAGACAGAAAATGTTGCAATCCACTCAATCTGTGAGCTAGAACAACTACCACCAATACCTCTTAAAAGTCCATTTACTAAAAACAGTGGACAATTCAACAATACTAAAGAGCCACTATTTCTGATTAAATGTCTACAGCAGTAAGAGGAAAAAAGAAATCCTTCTGAAAGTTTAGATTTTTTTAGACACACAGGTAAACAAATAGAATGCATCATATATATATATATATACTTACAGTACTATGAAATACAACACTGTGGCCTTTTCCTAAACTTTCTATATGGGCTGAGAGGTTAAAGCAGATGGCTCGATGTCTTATAGCATCCAGTGTTTGTGCATCAAAAAAGTCATGAGGTCTTGCTGGAAAAAAGGAAAATACATCTTAAGTGTTCCACACACCGAAAGCATTCTAACACATTCAAGTATGTAAATAGGTCTGTAGTATCATTAGTAAATCATTTACCCTTATGTCAGCAGTACTACCTTGTCAGAGAACTGAAAACGTTAATTTCACTGGGAGGGAGAAATTATTCCTAGAGAAGCACAATTCAAGTTTGGTCAAAACACACTCCCTGTGGATGAAAAGCTATTTCCAAAAATGCAAACACATCCACTAATTTCAGTTTCCATAATGCTGAATAGTCAGGTGAAAAACTCCACACTATTACATATTTCTTTCTATGCACAAGTTGTCATTCGATGTTCTTGGACTATTAGTAAATATTTTTTACCCAAGAAGCACAAGCTGCATGCATCACATATTACCCTTCAATTTATAACAAGCAAAGGACAACTAACACCCATCTGAGATTTTACAACCAGTATAAAACCAGCAGGCATTATAAAGACCTTCTCCTTTTAGAAAAGGATTTTTATAGTTACGTGTTTCTTGAACAGTAAAAATATTATTGGATTTTGATTTAGGGTCTAAAAGGAAGTCCATCAATGCTACACTAAAAGTACTTAAACTAAAAAATAATTGCTGTTAATAAAATATTTGTATGGTATTAGAAATATTTCACAGAAAATATTTAAAATACACCATATAAAACTGTAACTACATTACATTAGCAGAAAAGTCTGAATGAAAATATTCACATTTTTAAGCCTCACTTGAGAGCAGCAATTTATTAAATAACATATTGAAATTAAAACTAAGAATAGGAACTGGTATTACATTATCAACTATGTATTACTCTGAAATCTGCACAATGATTCAAACTTCTGCTGTCTTCACTTAAAAGCAGCTGCTATATTCCTGTATCTATTATTTCAAAATGAACTGCAAATTCCACTTGGAGCTAGCACTTGCTGCACTCCTGGGGCTGATTGTTGGTAAGCATTCATGTGTACATTCTGTTCTGTCCCTGCTCCATCTCAGTTGGACACTGCCAATTAGGCAATCATCTCACTGCAATGTGTTCTCACTCTAAGTGGCAATGGAAGACCACAGCTCATGCTGCAGGTGCTCAGTGACGCAAGCATATAAATATTTGATAAATAAATCTGAGGGAAGAAAGGAAGGAGGATGGAAAGACGGAAAATAAAAAAACCCAACAAATTTTTGCTTTCAGGTTTATGCAGCAAATTTCTCCAGGATTTATAGTGGAAAACATTTAGCAGACTGAGAACAGGTACAATGTTTCAAAAGTGTATGAATTTTTAAATTTATTCATAATGTTAGTATTTTCTATGCACCTTTACCCCAAAATGATTTTGAGAAAATGGATTTAAGTATCTTCTTTCATACTTAATAATGCAAGTTCCAAGTACTTATCAGTTCCTTAAGTCAAATAAATTACATAATCACATCAGTAACCCACAAAATGAAAATCCAAGCCCTACATAAGGAACAGTCTCACTGTAAATTCCATCAACAGTAAGCTTCCTTATCTCTCATATTCCTCTTGTGAACTCAATTATCATGCTTGTTAATAACTAATGTCATCTTTGGAATGAAAAATCAAGTGACAATATTGTAGTCAAGGCAGCTTTAGAATAGCAATGCTGTGACCTATTTTACAGGTACACACTTTCAATATATTTGGTTCTAAATGCCATTCTGCATGAATGAGGGAACACGTAAAAGGCCACTCAGAAGAGAAAGCAAGCCAGACTCTAATCCTGCATTATTCTACATCACACTTTCTAAGACAAATAAGATCTCTACAGCACCATGAATGTAACCAATTAAAAGGGTGCCACCAGTAAAACAAGCTTTTATGATAAATAGCTGATTTTCAAACTTACAAGAACATAAAAACATAAGACAGGACAAAAGAAAACACTCTTAAATTACAAGATCTTAAAAACCAATTAAGTAACAGTAAAAATTCTCTTTTAAAAGTCTAAGATTGTAGGCTCTTCACATACAGCCACAGTAAAGTCTCCTTTTTCATTATACATTCTCTCACAGAAGGATGTTACCTTCAGATACAAAACATAGGAAGCAAATGTATACATTTGCGGTACTCAAATTATTAAGAATTTATACATGAGGGTGCTTCAGTTACAGCATATATCGGGCATTAATTGTCAATAAATATTTTGTAATCCACTTACACCTTTAAAAAAGCCAGGGTCTAATAAAACCATGAGGTTTGCTGACAACATTTTTTTCCAGAGACTAATTGTTTTGTGCTGAAAAATTGCCAGCTTTTGTCAAATTATTATCTGCAAGTAATTTAAACAGACTGACCACTATTAAATGGCATTTTATTTTACATCCACATCATTAAGTCCTTGTAACCCTTCTTGCAGAGAACCTGGTATATGGGTTAAACATCTCTCCTTTTAGGCACTTACAAATACCTAAATAGAAATCCTTCTTAGGTACTTAGCTTCATATACTCTAGACTGAAAATAGTTAATGATGTTAATTGTGTTGTTTTGGCTTCGCATATAAGGGTTTTGCCTTCCACCATTCTTCTTATAAAGACAAAATACACAAACTTGCACACTTCATTCTTTAACTAAAACTAAGCTAAAAACCAGAAATACAAGCAAGATTGTATCAATCCTTTGTCACGTTCACTTCACCAACAATAATCCATACAAAGTTTTTAAGGAAAGCTGCCAATACTCAGCATTTTCAGAAAATGCCATCAACTTTGAATACATTTCTGGGTCACAAACCCTCTAGAGAAATACATTACAGTAGTCAGTTTCCAATCCAGTTAGAGATGATTTCTGCCTTAAGGCAAAAGTCTACAGCCAGCATTGTATTTGTCTCAAGAGGCAAGAAGATAAGAAATTGCTCAAGCAGCTGTCATTTTTCCTCCTGTGCAACACCTGATCAAGACAGCAAACCATTCAAACACTGCAGTCTGGTCTTTAACATTCTCACAATATTTATTATTTCCATTTTTTGCCATAAATTGATTCATAACTTCTGCAGCAAATTCTTATTACAACTAAAGCATATTAACAGGTGATTTGAAGTTTTAATTATGCAGCTCTGATTTGAAATTTGTAAGTCAAATAATATAATTTGATGTTTATCAATTACTAATAAAATGCCACCCTGAAAAACTACTTCTGCATATAGTGGGGGTGAAAATTAATTAAGATGCATTAAATCAGCCACCTAACAAAATCAATACAGAGAAGCAAGCTAACATGCAACTCAGGAACTTCTGAAAATGAGAACTTTCAAGTGACCAGTCTCAGACACCTGTATTTTGAGTAACACGGTCAACAAATCATAATGATTCTTAAGGAACCTGTGATTTTCTCAAGATGTCTCTCTCATTACATCTAAAATGCAAAAAGATAGCACAAAGTGAGTCCATAACCCTTCACTGATCAGCCTTCCCTTCTGAAACCTTCTCATTTACACAGATTTCCATAGTGAAAGGGAAAGTTCTTTGAAAATCCAATTCCTAAAAGAACAGAAAGTTCTCCAATTTCTTTAAATCTGGAACCAAAAACAGAGCAATTATTGAAATCTCTACTTTTAAGATGTTTTTCACAATACACAATTTGCTCATATATATTTTAAGAAGAATTTTTAAGGAAACTTTTCAGAATTTCAGAGGATAATGTAACTTCCCAGGCATACTTGTCTGCATACAAAGCAGAAACATGACCACTGCTTCATAAATTTCCTTAAAATTCCTTAAAACACAGGTGAGGTATTAAGAATAAATCACAATCATGGGATAGAGTAATTACGTAAGTCCATTAGTATGTGAAACCATTGTTGCAGTACCATTTGAATAGCTGGTAACTGTATTTCTTCAGAGGAAGAGAAAGATGGATGCAGTTACATGCTCTGCTACAGAAGAGTTTTGGAGAAATCAAACTGTGGAATAAAACCTAAAAAAAAGGTAACTTATGCTACTTTCTAATACTGTGAAATGGATTTTGCACAAGTAAAAATTCATGTCATTTTTTCTTCAGCTGTTGACACACCAGCAGAAAAAAATGTAAATATTTTCTTTAATGTCTCTTCTAAAATGCAGGTGGCAGAGTAACACTTTAATATTAGCCAATGATCTGTTTGGTACTGGAGAGTTGCATCCAAAGCAATTATAACCCAAAGTAAAATATTTTTACAATTACCTAATCTTTCCTAACTATCCCTGAGGATTAGAAACTCTGCAGAAATTTGATGTTTTATTAGTCTAAAACTAGGACAACTCAAGAATCAAACTACCAGATCCAAATGGACTAGTAGAGGTACTGTGTAAGTGCTTATTTCTTCCTAGAGGAAATGGTTCTCACTTTAAATGACAGATCACACCTCTCAGCACATTGGTTCATATAAAATTAATGAACATCAACAATGTGAAGACAAATTTAAAAAATATAGCAAGTCAATTCTGCCCAAAATTAGATCTTGGTTATGCTCATAAAACTGTCATTAACATAATGAAATGTTGTGCTCAAAAAAGAGCTTATATAACATGATTTTATCTCTAATTTATATGAATTTGCAATCTCTGTCTGAACTTCAGATCTCATTAGCACTAAACAGAACCCTTTCCAACAGTAATAGTCAGTAAATAAAAAGCAACTCCGAAATTAAAAGCTTCTTTCAATTGGCAACTCCAATTGCTGCTCACAGGAAACTGATCTTTCTTCCTTGACACATAAGATATTTACCCTGAAAAGGAACACAAACAGAATCTGGATTGTTTTCTTCCCATCACAAGGAATGCCAACCCTACCGGACTGAAATATGCAGAGAAACCACCAGAGCGAGGAGGAACATTTGCTCTAAGACAAATCTTTCAAGAACTACTTCTGTGAAACACTTACGTAGTGATCGTCGTCTCTTGTTCTTCAATTTTCTTCTTTTATTCATTCCAGCTTTAGATGGAGATTCCTCTTTGGCCTTTGGCTGGCTGGCAACTTTTGAAGAGTTCTGCTGGCTGAAGTGTGTGGGCACATGACGGGCAAGTCCTCCCTGAGATGCAAAGCTGGCATTGCACCCACCAACTACACACTAGTGAGAAAAAACCAGAACTGCATCAGTGACTGTGTGGCACAGCAGCTTCAGAGACCCCGGCGTGACTTCTCTGCCTCAACTTCCAACACACTAAAGCAAAACCAATTCTTAATGACCATGCAATTCTTAAAAAGAAAAACAAAAACATATTCTGAAATACATTTGTTTCAAGTTTTTAACTCTTGATAACTATTTCATGGCATAAAAAAGACAATAATTTTTATGCCATACTATATTTTATATTGTATAGAACAAAAATAATCTCAAACAATGCACTGGCAAACTTTCCACAGAAAACAGGCTTCTGAAGAACTTCCCTCTTCACAGACCAACATTCCCTTGCCTTTCAAAACACAGCACTGTTACTGTTTCTCAACACGTCTCCAATGTTCTGGATTTGGTAACAGTAACATCCTCCAACATCCTCCTTTCTTGTGAAAAGGCAGAAGGAACAAACACATCCTTACCCACATGACATTTGAAACAGTTTGAAAAGCTCTGTATAAAGGCTATAAAAAGGTCAATGAACAGCTGCCTTACAGTACTGTCTAAAACTTCAGTGAAGATGTAGTAATAATTATTTATACATTCGTTTTGGGATGCTGCTATTACTTCATTTAAGGTAGTTCCCATTTAAAGGAAATGTCTTCTCTCAACAGAACAGTAAGATCCAACAATAATCAAGCAGAAACATACAAACTGAATGACAGAAGCAACTAAGCTTGTACTGGCTACAATTATTGGTATTTTTATAAGTATCTTATTCATATTTACAATTATTTCATTTGCAGAGTAAGTGTTTAATTATCATATTGGAGAGGGAAGCACAACCCATTTCTATTGTGCTCTGAGCTTATATGGGTAATAGAAAGGAGATTTTAGAATATGCATTTCATCACTGGCTATGTATCCATATGACTTGATTTTTCTTGTTGATTGGAAGACAAGCAAATAGCTTTAGAAATCCACATATCCCATTTTTTTGCCCCCAAACCCCAACTCTGTTGTTTTCTAACAGTGGCTGCAGAACTGAAAAGTCTATTTCTGCCTCAGATTTTGCAAATGGTTTTCCATGATCAGTAGTAAAATACAGTGTCCACGAAGAGTAAAAACTGTGCTTAATACTTGCTATAGGACTAAAAATATGTACACAGATTTCAGAACAGTAAAAGGCAAAAAAAAATGAAAGGATGTTTTTAACATTTTTTTTGTGTGTTCATTGTCTTTTTCTTAAAGGGAAGAATTCTTAGAGGGACTTAGACAAAGTTCTCTAAGTACTGAACTAACTCAAATGTAAAATTCCCTGACAAAAAGCTTGAGGAACTGCATTTGCTTCTCCTTGTCTCTCCCACTAATAAGCATCTTAAGAATTGAGAAGACTTCTACCAAAATCCCCCCTATGCTTTTTAATTTTGCCCTAAGATTTCCCATGTTCAAAAAACAGCAATACTGTCTTCTTATAGTGACTTCCAATGGAAGAAAACCCAGCACACCTGTGAGTCCTAACACATTCTGGATGCTGATCTCATTACACTATGGTAACTCCAACACAATTTTCCTTATTTTAAATTCATACTGAACATTAAAATTTACACTTACAGAATCACAGGGTGGTTTGGGTTGGAAGGGTCCCTTTAAAACTCATTCAGTTCCAAGCCCCCTGCTGTGGGGAATGCAAGCATCTACTAAATTAGATTGCTAAACCCCTCAACCTGACCTTGAACCCAAACCACTTGTTTTTATCAGATTATTTAACTCACAATCAACAGATAAGTCTACAATGCATGTGTGCATCAGTTTAAACATTTTTTGTTCTCCTTATTTTTCTCCTTGAAATAGCTGTCTTGCCCATAAAAGCAGCTTCACAAAACTAAGCCACGAAAACTAAATTTAGGATTAACTTTCAGTAATGTGCTCCTGTCTTCAAATTCCAGTTCTTTCTGCTCATACAGTGTCAGAAAAACAAAAATTCTCAAAACCAGCCCATATATTGAAATTCAGACACACTGAGAAATTAAAATTTTAGTTTTACTAATGCCTTCTAGAGGTCAAAAATAACCTAAAGCCTTGGTACAGTGCATACATTACCATATTCCAAAGGCAACAAAAAGCAAACACCTTGGGGAAAAAAGCACAAACTATGTGTCAAGCACTTTTCCAAAACTTTTCAAACCATAACTGTACTTCTCGTCAGATGGGAAACATTGTTTTATGACAAACTGCAGGTTGACTCATGATGTCATAACTTTTTTCTTGTTATGTACAGAGCAAACAATCCCAAATACTCTAAATGGATTATCTACAGAAGCTACCACGAACTTCTCTTGCTCTATCCAGCTTTTATTTTCAAAATCCCCAAACCAACACATTTTCAGAAATTATTACACTCAAATTTTGTGTATGTTGAGACTACCTGATCATGTCTTCAAATAATCAACAGCTGATAGATCCAAGATGACAGAGAATGCCTTTGCAGTAGACAGGAAATAGTAGAAGAGGAGAATGAAAAAATCTTACCTGTTTGTTCCTTTTTTTCTCTAAAATAATATATCCAGCAATCCGTTACTAATGGGCAAAGTCTCTTCTCTCCAAAGATAAAGGAGCAGTTCAGGCTGTCACTTCAGGATCTCTGGACGGTAAGTCACACCAAATCAGCTTCCCACCAGGTAATTATAGCTCTAGAGGACTTCTAATAAATCAAACTCAACTATTATGCACAACTTTGAACCAATCTTTTCATTTTTCCCCCAAAACCTAAATCTCAAAATTTTGCATTGAATTTGAAATACAACAGATTGGGTCCGGATTGGTGGATATGTTACTTCAAGAGAAAGTAAGTAAACATGTAAGAAGTTTAATTTCTCCAGTGTACCCATACCCACCATTATTAATGGGCAGTAATGACCAGTGACTTTAACAAACAGGATATAAAAGTATCTAGCAATGCAGGTTTTTGTTCTAAATTCAAAATAAGCAAATCTATTTGGGTTATTCAACATGTAGTTTTTTTCTAGTAAATCTAACAGAAATAATTTAGACATCTGGATAAACTTTCTTATTGTCTCAACATCTGAGTGTTTGGGCAGAGTGCCTTTACATTTTACATCTGCAACGCTCTAATGGACAGAAAATAATCTGCCAAGAGAGTAACAGGCATGAATTGCCAATGAAGACTGGAGCTGCTTGCTGCTTGTGTTTTCTGCATTTCACCAAGCATTACTCTACTGAGAGTTGTATCAAATGCAGTCACCCCTTCATGAATTCTGGAAGTTACAGGGAGCACTAAACTTCATTTTTAATACTACTTTCTTCCCCCATTTTAAGGGGAAGCCTGCAGTAAACCTGTGTGCTACCATTCATTGTCACTAGAAACATTCACCCCACAGGAGCAAACCTTGCACAACTGCTCTTGAACATGAAAAGCGTATCCACTGGAATCCATGGGTGAAAGCAGCTACTAGCACTCCCACACGCATCCTTATAGATTCATTTAGGTTGGAAGAGACCTTTGAGATCATCAACCACAATCCTAATGCTATATGGAATTATTACTTTATTAATTTTTATTACTATTTGATGCAATAATTTTGCATAAAATCTCCCACAATTTCATGCTCATTTACCATTTGCCCTTTGATTGTGCTCAACATCTAAGAGCTCATTCGATGTGTCTTCAAGCAACCTTCAGTGCCAAGTAACACTTGATTAATTTAATTTTGCCCCTGCACACCAGAAACCATGCTGGAAAACGCAGGTTGTCACAACTCCTTTAACTATTCCAATACTTATTACACGTAACAGCAAAGTTTAGGACAAGAAAGATGGAATATCTTATTATTCAGTTCTTTTCAACTTGCCAAGGGCAGTTTGTTGAAATCAGGATGTTTTCTGACTCAGCAGATTATTCCTTTACATTCTGTCTATAAGGTCTGAAAGCCAAGTTGAGTAAGAGATCTAAAAAAGAATAAACTTGACAGTTTACTCTCTCAACTCTGTCTGTAAAATCATACACAAAATGAGCATACTAAACGTCTTCAGAGAGAATACTTATATTCAATGAATGTCCACAATGACAAAAAAATATAAGAAGAACTGGCTAAATCAGACTGTGAAGAAAATGACTCAGTGAGGAGCTGGATGTATACTACCAAGATATTACCCCACAGAAAAAAGGAGCTAACATAACAAGTCTCAAAAATAGGTATCCATAAGGAAATTCACCTTTTCTGTGACACAGGTACTACAATATTCATGATGAGAGGGACACACTAAGCCACACAACCAGGCAAAAAAAGACAAATTTATGAAAATACGAACCATTTTGCCTTTGCACTTTAGAAGTGGGTTTATTTCTGTGCCAAATGAACTGCAGAGTCACATGGTTGATAGGAAGGAATGGCAAGAGCAGGTAAAACCCACAATGACCTTTCAATAGGAAAGCAGAACAGCTCATTTAGAGCTGAATGGAGCTTTTAGTCAAAGACAACTCCATGTGTATCACAAAAAGAGATAATTAAACCCAAAATGTGCAACTACATAAAATGAGTCAATTTTCAAGCAAAAGGGGAGCTGGACAGGGATATATTCTTCAATGCAAAAGCGAGTTATGACTGAGACAGTCCCCAATGCTTTTCAATTTAAGAAGCTACATTTCTCTCTTCACTAGAAATGTAAGAATGTATCTATCTGCGGTATACTTATTACTCTCTTCTGGTCACTGTTTGATTTACCTTTCTGAGAGTAAGATTTCCATACTTTTAGTTTCTCATTCTCCTAGCTAAGATTCCTTGTTTTACTTGAAAACATTCTAAATAGCAGTTCTTCAGACAACAGCATAGAGCTGTACTACTTCCACTACTGCTTCTTACAGCTTTCCTCAAAAACCCCAACATTATTCTTTAACCAAAACACTGCATGACTACTTTCTGCAAGTTTTCTAAAGTGAAAGATTCCTTCCTTTTATGTTAGAATTCAAGTATATTCTCATGAGGCAACTGAAGTTTCATCTGCAGTTTAGGTTTAAGGAGATATTTTGTCTGCAGAAATTATCAAGAACAGGTCTTTAAACCAACTCTGACTTCAAAAAAATCTAGCTTTCCCTGAAAGGTGAGCAATTAAGATTTATGATAGAAGCTAAACACACAAAATGGACACATTGGCTCCATTTTTGACTGGCTGCCACAAAACGATCAATAAAAGGCTGTTCTTGGATTGGTCAAGACTAATACCCAACCCTTCAAGCATTTTTTGCCTCAGAGAGTAGATTTCTAAAGTCAGCATTAAAAAAAATAGAAGCAGCAAATGAAGGAAAGGAGCCAGTTAATTAATGGATTGCCATCACAGACACTCACATACTTGGCTACCTCATGTGAGCCCTGAAGCTTATTTCAGCATAAATGACAGGGGAACAAAAGATGTTACAAAATTCTACTCAGACCACAATTATCTTCCATTCAAAGCTCCCGGGAACAGATTGAGAAATACAGGGATAAAAAACAAACAGAAGGACTAGAGACAACAGCATGAAAAAATGCTGCAGTGACACACATTGAGCCAGGATGATTAACTACTGCAACCCTTGAATGTTTTGTTCTCTCCCTCAGTAGGACCAGAAAGTACAGAAAATCAGCTGGTGAAACAACAGATATTGAACACAAGATGATTATTATCAGAAACAACTGTTGACAATTTTAGGGCTCCAGCTAGTAATCAGCCTAGCTAAAAAAATGAGGATACCAACTGTCTTTGCTAGGTAACCCTGACAGACTCAAAAGTACTACTGGTGTTTCTGAGCTACGCCCACCTCTTCAACAACAGTGTCTCTAAAACTGAGTTTATTTGATCTAGACCAAATAAGAACACAGATTAAGCTATTAGAAGACTTTCATCCAAGAACAAAGCTTGCCATTACACTTTAAGGTAGACAAAATATTTAATTCCAAAATAGAGAAAACCTAAGGTACAAGTGTCCTCTGGTAACTGAGGGTTGTTTTCTTTACTACTACTACTATTATTATTATTAATAATCAGAGATTAGGATTACAGATTAGATCAACTCCTGGAACAACCATATCTGCAAACTTCCAGGGATCTATGATCCTTATGCTACCCTTCCAAGAGCATGCTAAACCTATTCCTTCAAACACAGGGTGTGATAACCTTAAAACTCATTTTCCTGTGGTTACTTTGAGTGAGAAATTTTCAGTGTAAACTACACAGTTCAGTATGGAAAAAAATCTGTCTGTTAAAAAAAAAAATCTTTTTCACATGCAATGCACTATTTTTACTCTCTTGGTTTTGAGTTTAATTTAGTTTTGTTTTCTGTCATAACTATTATTAAAACCTATATAGAAAATGTAACTACGGAAAGACACTCCTGTAACAGAAAAGTATTTTTAGTAATAAAGCTGCCTTAAAATAAATTTTTTAAGAAGTGGAAGATATTACCTGAGGAGAGAGAGGGAAGACAAGGGACTAAAACTTGGTGGGGTTGGGGGTGGGAGAGGAGGCATAAAATGCTACCTAAACTCAAAAAAAACCCAAATCCTATTTCATTTTCATATCCTACATGGAAGAACTTCAGTCTGAAGTAGTGTGGGTGGGACTTACCATCAAGTGATCCAGGACTGACAGCTATGAACTGCCCCAACTGTATCCATAAGAGGATGAAGCAACTCATTAATAACGGATTGGTGGATATGGGAATGATAAACACTACTATACCTAGAATTGCAGGTACAGATTAAGGGAAGAAAGAAAGAGAAAGTTAGAAAATACCATGCAGGAAATACAGTCAGGTCAATGGTCCTGCATTCCTGACTTCCTTATTCTGTTCAGAGAAGTGAACCATAAATAGTCACTGCCAGCGCTTCTATTGAATTTAACAAAAGCAGCTCTTACTCAAGCATGGAATGTGCACCATCAGCCATCATCTGAAACTCAATGTGGAAGTGCAAAGTATCAAGAAAAAACATCTCACTCTTACAGTGTAAGCAGCTCAACCTCAAAATGCATAAACCCCCTGAACTTTAGCACTGTTTACTTTTACACTCCCTGCCATTTATAGATTAAAAGAAACAGGGATAGCAAAGCAATAAGAGTTTCTTCACCTCATTTTGTAAAACAGGACCTTTGGGCACTATTACTGCAAAGAAGAAAGCTCAGCTCACTTTAAGAAATCCTCCAGTGTTGATATTTTTCAATTGACATATTGCATTAGGAAAAATAAAGAGAATTTTTCTAAAAATGAGAGATAATGTATGTTACAATGAGCCTTACCTTGAAAGGTTTGTCCCCACTATGTGTCAGCATATGCCTCTGCAACCAACTTTGACTTGTTGAAGGTGTATTATATACTTTGCAACCTTTCCACAAGCAAACAAACACCTATTAGAGTAAAAATGTGGTAAGTTTACACAAGTCAGAGAGAACAGTAAATAAAAATCACATTAGTAAAGAAGGCTGTTTTGACATCTCACAACACTTCAAAGAATTCTGAACAATAACTATTTCTTTTGAAACACACTTCTCATATCTCACCAAGGAAAAAATAATTACAATCCTAAGTATTTAATAAAAACAGGTCACTGGAAGAAAATACCAACAGGCAGATGTTCCTGCAGATAAACACAATCAAGAGCAACCGGATCTGCTGTATTTGTGTTTCCACTCAGTATCTGTATCCACCAGATATGGAGACAGAACATTTTTAAATGAAAAATTTGCATTTTCTGGGTAGTAGTTATAGAAGTAAAATTATTTGCTTTCATAAGCAATTACTTGTATTCCTTGAGCATGAAAAAGTAAAAACTCTTAGCTGCAATGCAGTCTATATACTGGAGTTTTGTATTCTGGAATACCAGATACCTCCATTTACGCCCTTACATTCAATTCCTGATGAAGGAAGCTACCATTTCTCATAGGATTCAAAATCTATGGGTGTTTTGTGATTCCAATGTACAGAACAATCACATGCACAATAGTGCATTAAGGGGAGCAGAACTTGCTCATGCTGCTTTTCCCTCTCCTCTCATTGTGTTTATCTGTAACTGAGGGAATAAAAAAGCTCAATGAACATGCCTTTCATTAGAATTTCCTCAACAGGTCTGTGGGTGAAGGGAGGTAAAGCCCTAATTTGTTGCAGCAAAAGAAAGTTCCCAGGAACAGCACTGTTCATAACACAGGTTTTCAGAAATGCAGGAAACTAATTGGATTTCAGTTTCTTGTTCTCTTTTGGAGAATAAAACCCCCTCAACCTTCAAAAGATTTTATTTTCAAAATGAAAAAGAAGCCACAGGAGTTGTACGTTCTTGCTGTACAATAGACACATAACCCAGTTTTATCAGACAAAGCTGGAAACCCCTCAGTGTCTGTGTGACTGATCCAGACCTACTGACACAAGGCCCAAGCCCCTAAACCTTTGGGGTCTGCCACTCCTCAGTTTTGACATCCCCTCAAAGCCATAGAACTGAAATTTCTGAGATTTCTGATTCTGCAACAGCTCCGTAAGTATGCTGGCATTTCCAGCAGCAACTGCAGACTGCAGGGCAAAGGTGTTACTGGGAACTTACAGACAGGGGAAATACAAGGACTTGGGTTTGTAACTACACACCAGAAGTCTAGACAAGGCTTCTTGGGAATCCCTGTCAAAAAGCTGAACCTAAAATATTTCTGAACTAACATCTTTCAAAAGCAAAACTGTTTTGTCAAAAAGCTTCCCAGGCTCTTCATTAATGTATCTGGTTTGGACTGGAACCATGACCTCAGTATTAGTTGGAAAAAATACATTTTACCATGCAAAGATGTTTATCCTATTCTTTTCCATATTCCTTTCCATTCTCAATAACTACTTAACCCCCACTTTTCTTCAAATTTATAGCCATTGCAGTCAAGTAAGGTCTGAAATCCCATCAAAACCACGAGACAATTTCCAACACACTTGAACACAGCACCGGCAGGTGGCAGACAAATCCCTGAAACAAACCCACCAGGATGCATCCCCCTTCCACAGCAGCGCGTTGGAACTTCTCAAAAATTTAACTCCAGTAAGGGCATTCAAAAGTGTGAACTCAATGCATCAGTTATTAGACACTTCGTGCTTCCAACAACCTCCTCTTTTAAATATACAAATACAGTCCAATATTTTCTAAATAAAAATATCTATGAATCATGTCATATGAAAGGTAAGTGACAAGAAAAAATACAGGCGGAAAAAAACTCAACCAAAATATGCAGAATCTTCCAGCCCCTTTTTAAGAAATGTAAAGGAGTCATGGATGGGATAAGAAGGGTCCAAACACACCTTATTCATTTCACTGTTTCATGCAGGTTTTATGTGACACCTTTATACACCTGTGGGCAGAACTCAGAAATCATCTCATGAGTGACTAAAAAGCCACTGCACTAGATGGATGATTCTGCTCAGACACTGAACTGAAAAGAGCCATCAAATATGAAGCTGACAAGTTCAATCATGCCAAAAAATATTACCTAAATACAGCCAGAGTCACAGCTGTCTTGGTGACATATTTACATAATAAATTATTTATAATAATGCAAATTAGCTTTTTATTTAAGTTTCTTATTCACTGAAGATAAAGTACAACAGCCTAACATTTTCCTTCTGTAGAACCGACAAGGCAAAAGTCAAAAGACAACAACTATTCTACTTTGAGAATTGATATTATCTCTCCCAGAAATTGAAGAGCTGCAACACACAGTGCCTAAAGCAGGCAGATTGCTTGTGCTGGATGTAAAGGTAGTTTACATGATATATTCCAGACATCACAGGTAATTTGGGAGCTTAAGATGGAAGGTAGTTAAGTACAAAGTTGAAATTACTCTACTATAAAATGTTTTTAAACATTAAAATTGAGAGACCAATTATCATTTGACCAGGGATTAGACTGGAATTTACATGCTTATATATGCAACTCAATTTAAAAAATAAAATTAGATGTAATTATATAGAAGGCAAACTTGCCATCAGTATTACACACAGAGCTGTTTTAAGACTTTGTACTCTTGAGTCAGTCTTACATCTTCCCCATTATACATTCTGGATGGATTTTAGCTGTAGTGAGACTCCTTCAGTAACAGTAATTAAGATGTGACTTCACCTGAGTTCACACACAGGAACACTAAGAGTTTTAATTAATTCCAAGTGTAAGCAGAAGCTTCAGGATATTGAGAAATGAACACACTATCAAAACCCTGGTAATCTCAAATAATTTATTTAAAAGAACTGACTACATTCTTAAAGTTAGGCCACTAACTTTGCTGCCACTAGCTTGAAAAAAGGAATTTTAGGAATTTTGAAACACAAGAGCAAAATATTGGCAAATAAGAAAGAAGGAAAACCAAAAAGTAACACCAACCCCTCCTCGCTGACCATCCACGTGTATGGAGCGAATGTGATCCGCCAAATCCGGGCTGGAGCTGAAGCAGGCGTGGCAGTGATCCCAACAACAGTTATAGGCAATGCTTTTGGCAGAGGAGGCAGGAACTCCCTGTCCATTCATCATGACTGGTGTGGAACGCCCACTGGAAATTGTGCTGTCTACATCCATGATAGTGCTGCTTATGCTGCAAGACAAAAAAAACCCCAAAACTAATCAAAGGTTGCATTAGTTGCATGTTAACAGAGCAAATCAAAACCCCAGCGCTTTTGTTTCAGATATATTTAGACAGGTTGAAAATAAAACCTTGTACAAATTTATTATTTATTGTGTTCATCACTTTAATAATAAATGTACAGTTAGGAAACAGCTGTTACTCAACGGTCTAACTTCTTCTGGACACTGGGAACAAAAGGGAGGAATAGAAAATCCTGAATATATTGAGTCAAACATCTCCTGCCAACATTAGAGCCTTAAAAAGATTACAGCACTTCAGTTCTACATAGGGTTTAAGGCACTCCCACATGGCCCCAGCATATCGTCCCTCGTGTGCATGGTCTACACTAATGCTGTTTTATTTTGGTTTTGCAAAATGTTTCCAGAGAAGCCAGAATCAGCAGAGGAAAACTGCGGCCAGCAGGGGTCCCTTCCATCAGCCTTTCAGTTCTGTACCCTAGCAGATACAGAGACAAGCATCAAACAGATCAGAAAAAACTTAGAGATCATGCTCTTTCTCTATATACGCAAAAGGTATTTTTCCTCATTAAATATCTATTGATACACCTTTTTTTATCTTGCTAACCTGCTCAGTTGCCATGAGGGCCTTTAAGTTTTTCTCTTCCACAAAGTCACAACATTACAGAACAGCTCATCTTTGACACAACCTCAAAGAACAGGTGGTCAAATTTGCTTAAACAGGAACGAGTGACATCAGCTTGCCTGTGGTCTTGTCCAGTGGAGTTGATAATGGGTGTGTTCAAAGGCTGGGATTTCTGCTACCTTTCTGAACAATTTTCTCAATAGCTGACTAACCTTGTTCTGGGGGAGGAGGGAAGTTTCCCAACATCTCATCAGAATTTCCAGTGCTGCAACTTCCGTCTCTTGGCAGCTGCAGGGCTGAGATGACTCTGCCTGCTCCATTGTTAAACCTCCCTATCAGATCAGAGAACACAGAAAAACACTGCCCTCCTCCTCCAAAAACTGAAAGAACACAAGCACTCAGCCTCTCCATGTTCTGGATTTGCTTCAGCATCCTAAACATCTTGGAGAGCCTTCACCAGATCCTCCCAGTACAACTGGAATATGCTAAACCATTCTGCTTTAAGGTACAAGTGCTGTTCCTTATTTTTACCATCAGTGTTTACATGCCCAGTATTGTTCTATTACACACAGATGAACGAAAGAAAAAACACCATTAGTCAAAATATGAAGACATCATTAGCATGTTTGCTCTTCTGCTGTAAGAGTCTCTACTAGTGATTTCTCACGTTATCTGTATCTTTCTGAATCACTACAATGCTAGAAGGTTTTTTCTGTGATAGATTTTGAAATAATCACAGATATTTGCTTTGTTTAGACTTTCCATTCTCAACCACCATGTAGATTCCACTGCATTTATCAATAAGAAGTGACTTGCCTTAGTCTAAATAACAGATTCCCTTCAGCAATGCTCCCAGTTATAAGTTTTAGTTTTAACTACCCTGAGTAATTTGGTTTGATGAACAAACATTTATCTCAAGAGATACCACCATATATGGTGGTATCATATACTATAACATATTCCAAACACAGAACCCTTAAAAATCATCTTTCAGCTAATTTGCTACAAAATCTGCTATTAAAACTGACCAACTATTTTAGGCCTTTGTCTTACAAGTTAAAAAGAAAATTTCAGATACCTTTTGAACACCTTTTTGCTTTAATGAAGGTGTATCAAATGCATAGTTCCTAAATGCTACACAAATACCACATGCCCTGCTCCCAATTTCTAACAAGGTCTAAGAATTTAGAAGGCATAGCTCCTATCCATAGAAGTCATACTATTTGCTATTTAACAGGCTATTTGCTGCTACACACCAAATTTCCATGTGTCCATTATTTTTACTTTCTTCCCTTTTCTACACCCTGAATACACAGAGCTTCCCATGATTCCTCCCCATGTCTCCCTTCCCTCCCCGTAATCTTGATTTTTTTAATGACATACAACCTCCCAACCTGTCACTAGCAAGTAAACAAGTATTCCACTGGCCCTGAGCTGAAGTTCCCAGCTCCAACAGCATTAAGAGGCACTAACTACATGTACTGTAACAGCATTTTAGGATCCCCGTAGCAAATTGTCAGCAGCTTTATCTGCAAAACCTGTTGCAAGTAATCCTAATTTTTCCACGGTGCCAGGCTCATAATAGATGCAATTATGAGACTGACATCTTCTCCTTCCTCAACTGATGCCCAGGCCAAAAAATAATCCCCAAAAATAAAGCCTGTAAAACTGCATTGTGAAAGCAAAATTTACCCACGATGACAGAAAATTTGAATAATTAATTATAGTTAATTGTGTCACCACCTCACCTGCCCCTCGGTTTAAGCTATCCAAATACAGCTTTCTTAAAATCACACTTGTAAGTAGGTTTGGACACACAGAATGGCACAAAGCCCAACCACTTCTGCCACAGACAGTGCTGTTACACGGCTCAGTGGTCCCGACAGGAAGCTGCTTAGCCAAGGATGGCAAAGCACTGCACACACAGCACTCGTGCAATAGCTGCCTCATACCAGCTCAGGTCCATAAATAACCCTGCCTTTCCCACAGCTGAAGGGTACCAAAGGAAACTGCTTCCCAAACACTTTCAAGGAGGAGTTCAAGCTTCAGGGCTATTTCCAGTCAGTAGGAGTTTCTACACCCACAGCCACCATTAGGTCCGCTCTCGCACACCCCACAAACAGTACAAGCAGACTTCTGACTGAGAGGATGTGTGGTGCTGCTGACCACAGGGCAGAGTATGAGGGGTATTTAACAGTTCCCTGGGTTTACTGTCTGGTCTGAAGTGGGAAAGCAATGAGAAAATATAACCCTGAACAAGTTCTGTGAAAGTATTTTGGGGCAGGGGAGAAGTGTACCCTCACACAGGTGCGTGTTTGTGGTTTCTCCATTCCACAGGCCTGAAATCCACTTAATTCGTCTAAGAAGAGATAAAAAAAAAACCCTGAAAATTATCAACCAAAAGATGACAATCTAGTTCCCAATGCTGGTGCAGTGCAACATACCTTGATACAAAATCACAGGCCTCCAATTTTACAGCCTAAGGAATGCAAACGCTTAGGCTTTGTGGTTTTTTACAATCTATCCTACTTTCTTCTGGAGAAAAATATGTAAAAGTCAACTGATCCCAGCAAAAGCTATTGTAACAAGTAAGGTTATTAATGACATAAGAAACCAGTAACAAGCTAATTTAGTTATTACTGTTTAAATGTTTGCTGGGTTTGGGTTTAATAGCCTAAGTGTTTGCTAAGGGCTAACAGATTAACACGGTATCAAAATTTTGTATCAGAGGAACTGGAATAAAAAAAGGCTGCCCATAGCACTCAAACCAAGTAGTAGCATATAGAATTTGAAAAATGAGAATGAAGTGACACACTGAACTATGATTCTATAACCTATTCCAAATCCTGTCTAAAAATGGGGGAAAAATATAACACAAAGCCAGTTGAGCAATAACAGCTTAATATTTAAGACAAAATGCTCTTCATCCTTCTAGAAACACACTGCCCTAGCCATTCCTTCTCTAGTAACAATCTGTTAAATAAAAATGTAACATACATTTTTTGTTTCCTCTTCTGTGCCTCCAGAACCGGCGTATTTCAGGTGATCAGGTGCTTCCCAGTACTAAGATATCTAGAATTAGTTTCTGTCTCACTTAGCAAGTTCTGTCCCTCACAGAAGAGGTAAAGGCTGCAAAGAGAATCTGTGAAAGACCAGTGCCCAGCACAGCTCAAGTGTGTGCAGTTTTCTCTCGTCTTTCTTACACTGAGAAAATATCAGGAAGCTTTTCAGAGAATAGTCTGCAGTATATGTAACATCAAAGACACTCACTTGGGCAGTCTCTTGACCTGCCCATTTTGAGATGAAGTAGGAAGATAAGTTTTACAGACAGAGCTGCGGCTGCTACTAAGTCTGTTAAGACTTAACTGCAACACTGTGTCTGTTAGAGCTGCCAATTCAGCCACTTACTTGTTTCTCAGAGTTTCACAAAGGGCGTGAGGACAGGACACACAAGCAAATAAGATGTGTGCACAAACACTCAGCCCAAGATGGGCTTGGACTACACAAAAAGTGTGTGCACCTTTCAGTCTATGAATGGGGCTTTTCAATCCAATACAACTTTCTATCTGCTTGAGATCTGACAGAGGGAAAGGTTCCTTAACAAAGGGAAGGTAGCAATGGAAATTGCATCCTTCTGCTTTCTCTCCCCAAATCCATGAAGCCTGCAAGTGGGAAAATAATAATGTGCAAAAGAGGAGAAAACAAAGTAAGAAATACACAGAAACCTTGGTAACAGGACAGAGACACTGAAACAGATTTTCAGCTAAGTTAAAGCAAGTTTTTCTGCCTTTTGCTAAGTCCCTCTCTCGCAGGCAGGAGATCTGTTTGAAGTCTGCCTACCACTATCAAAGCAGAATGACACGAGCAGAACTGAAGCTCTTGTGGCATTCCCCTCCTGCCAGTGACAGACAGGTCTGGGTTTGCTCCCAAGCTGTAGGCAGGCTCCAGCTCCATTGTAATGGATCTATAGACCATGGCCTGATGAAGAACATTAGACATTCGAGTTTCAGAGAGTTCAGCTCAGGGGTCATCCCAAACAATAGAGCATCAAAAACAGTCACTGCTGGAGAGAGCTTGCATACACAATAGCAGTTTTTAAGAAGCTCCATTCAAAAGACTGACTAATTACTAAAATTTAGAACTGTTACAGCAAGCACAACATGATCTTCGAGCTTATGTTGTCCCTATTTTCAACCTAATTGAGCACCTGAATCAACTTGATGCAAAAATCACAGGTCTAGAGGCAAGAACTGAAAGCCTTTCTGAAATGCCTTACTAAACCCACACCTCCTTTCACCAAGTCTGCAAACACTGGTAGCATCTGCCAAACACAGCAAGGTAGAACTGAAAACACAGAATCTTCTCAG